TGTCCTGGCTCCGGCCCCAGCCACTGCATCCATAGAAGAATCCAAAGAAGAAGCCACTCCCAGAACATGCTCTGGGCTGGAGCAGCCTTCAGAGAGGTTAGCTATGTGTTCTCAGCATGACCAGACCACCACAAAGCTCAGAAGCACACAGTTACTGCTGCTCCTGATCCTGTGAGTTGACAGGGATTCTGAGCTGGCTTGCCCTGGGACCAGCAGAGCCACAATGGCCTCACCCAAAATATCTGAGGCATCAGTATCTCTTCTGGGACACTGCCCAGATTCATAGGATGTGAACTCCTCCTGCAGCAAAAGTGAGCAAATCCAAGGGCACAAGTGTACGTCCCACTGGTCAGAATGAGTCATAGCCAAGCCCAAGTTCCAGCAGTGGAGGAACAAGAACCCTTTGCAGAGTACGTTGCAGTGCATTGGGGGCCCAAAGTGCTAAGGAGCACTGGGCCCAGGCTCCCTTGGCCTGAGATGGCCATGTGACGTGTGGGTGGGAGTGAGCTGAGTGTTTAGTGAATGCCAGATTCAGAATCTTATTTCTCCTGGTAGAACAGGGGTGGTGGGTAAAAAGCTCTCAGAAATAAGAGATCCTGGGCTAATGGAATGAGCCAGAATTAATAGTCCCTATTTCTGCCTTTGTTTGCCTCCCTTTCTCTCTGGTCTAAACTCAGTCCAATTTTCTCCCACTTCTTCCTTACAGAGAAACCTATGACTCACTCCTTCTGACTAGTTCCTGCTGTCTCTCTGAGGACAGTGGCTGAAGTCACAATGGGAGAGCAGAGTAGAGGGGCCCCAGAAGCCATAGGCCCTGGGCCAGCCTGCCTACTTTGTCTGTACTCCTTCAACTCTAGGATGTGGACTTGCTTGTATGGAATGACTCTGGGGCTCATTTGGGCCCTATCCTGCTTGTGGGCAAATGGTCAGGCTGGACCTGTCTGGGAAGAATAATGGCATGGTTGGGTATGAGGGGCTGGTTAAAGGAATGGCCCCCACTCTTCACTCTGCCCCCTCAGTACTCTTTGCAGTGAGATGTTGCAGCTGCTCGCATCAGAAAATGGAGTCTTTACCCCTGCTCCTGAGTATGCTTTGGCCCGAAGAATGTGATGGAGGCTGTGAGTGTTCTGAGCCTAAGCTTAAGGTGCAGTGACTCGATGGCTATCTTTCTTAGAACCCTACTACTGTTATCAGGATGGACAAGCCTAGACCAGCCTGCCGGGAATGAGTCATCCCCAGTGCAGCCAATTTAGACCCACCAACATAAGCAAGGCTCACCTAGGTCAGCTGAGCCCAGCCCAGCTCAGCCCAATCCAGCCTAGCCCTGAGTAGCCAAGCAGTGGAGATCAGCGGAGTCAAACCTCCATCAGCCCAGCACAGCCCAGCCAGCCCAGCCAGCCCATAGCTTGTGAAAAAGCATCTGCAATGGTTGTTTTCAGCCACCAAATTCCAAGCTGATCTGTGATGGAACTGCCAAGTGAATGGGTGCTTGAGAGGTCTCTCACTGGCTGTGGGTGGTCTGAACACACTTCCCCTTCAGGGTTAACTTCCAGCGTTAAACCACCAGGTTTGCAGTTCAAGGTCCTGCTGCTCTGATTCTTTTTTTTTTTTTTTTTTTGCTGGTCCTATTCTTAGGAGGTGATCTTAGTATGGTACCCACGTAGGGGACAGAGGAACCAAGGCAGGAGGCATGGGAAGGCAGAGTCAGTGACTCCGGCGGTGAGCAGGTGCTTGCCATCCCTTGGGCCATTTTCTGCTGCCTTTCCCCTAAGTACTGGCAGGGAGCTGGATCTGAAGTGCAGCACGTGGAACCTGATCTGATGCTCTGGTATGGGATTCCAGTGTCCTTATCAACGCCTTAACCCACTGAACCAAGACTACTCCAGCTTTTTTTTTTTTCCTGTAAATTTATTTACTTATTAAAAAGGCAAAGTTACAGAAACAGAGGGAGATTCAGAGAGATCTTTCATCGCTGGTTCACTCCTGAATGGTTGCAATGGCAGGGGCTGGACCAGGCCGGAGCCAGGAGCCTGAAGCTTCTTTCAGCTCTCCCATATCCGCAGCAGGGGCCCAAGCATTGGAGCCATCTTGTGCTGTTTCCCAGGCAGGTTTTCTAGGATCTAGACTGGGAGTGGAGCAGCCACGGTTGGAACCCACGCTCATGTGGGATGCCAGTGTTACAGGTGGCTGCTTAAACTGCTGTGCCATGACACCAGCCCTACACCACTGTTAAATTTTTTAGAAAAATCTAAGCTCTTGGCATACCTGAATAAAATGTAAAGAGGAGGCTGCCAGCATGGAGCCTGGCCCTGTTCTTCCTTCACCAGGGCCCTCCACATGGCCTCTCCCATGGACAACTTAGTACCTTGTCGCCTCCTTCCTGCCCCTCATGCCCTCATGCCCCAAGTCCCTGGTTTGATGAAATGAATACTGATGTTCTCTCCCCTTGCCATGATGACTGTGAACATGCCTTCCACTGCTGAGCTGTGCAGATTGCCCTGCCTACTGTGCCTTCTTGCAGAACTTGATCTATGCTAGCTTCTCAAGGATTCCCTGAGGCCAGGGCTAGAGTGGGTGGGGCGAGTTGGGCACACACCCAAGTGCTTTACCCGCCCCACTGCCACCCCTAGAGACAGGCAGCCAAGCTGCCAGCCAGCCAGCTAGATGCGTGCCCTCCCAGAAGCAGGAAAGGCCACTCACCCGTGGGCAGAAGGCTCACCAGGGGCCCTGATTAGTCCTCTTTTGCCAGGGAGGGCCCCAGAGGCGTTTGCTCCATATCCAGTCCTGACCTCCAGAATGGTGTGCCTTCTCCGTGCCCTGTCCCCATTCTGGCTCCAATGTCGTCTTGGTCATTCTTGCTTAAGCTCCTCTGCGACAGCTGGTCACATTTCTTTGTCTTGGTGGAACCACAGTCATCCTGAACATAACCTGACCCAATCTCTTAATTTCATTATCAGGGTCTGGCAGTCAGGACGCCATGTGGTGAGGCTTGGCACCAGGGTTCTTTTTAGAGCGAAGGGCTGCCACCAGAGCCCATGGGCTAGGGCAGGATAAAGGGCCTGTTTCTGGGAGTGCCCAGCCCCATGTGTAGCAGAGCCAAGGCAGCCTATAACCTGTGGTGCAGTCCCTGTGGGTGGCTTGCAGCACAGTAGACAGTTGGGCTCTGGTGAAGGCACCTGCTAGGATGTCCATGCCCCTAGCTCTGGCTCCCGATTGCAGTGTCCTGCTAATGCAGATGTTGCAAATTAAGTAGTCAGTGGAGACCTGGGTTGAATTCCTGGCTTTTAGCTTTGGCTCCAGCGCAGAGCCAGCTGTTGGCATTTGGGGAGTGGAGCAGAGGATGGGAGCTCTGTCTGTTTCCTTTTCAAATAAGCGTGTGCCTGAATGAATTGTTCAAAAACATTATACTTAAATGAGATGACAACTTCCAGCCATTCCAAAGCCTGTGCTCCAGGACCTTTTATTTGTTTATTCATAATCATCAGGCAGAACAACTCAGATGCCCTGCAGACTGGTAGGTGGACAGGTAGACAGTGACCCCTTGGTACCATGGAATACTACTTAGCCAGGAACGGGAGTGAACTAACACTAGGACGCTGAGTCCCAAATGCATGTGCTGAGTGATGGATGCCAGACACAGAAGGCTACACCCACCAACTGCCTGGAGATGTGATTTTAGAAAAAAGCGAATGTGCTGAACAGAGGATAGGCATGCTGCCCCCCTAGGGCTGGGGCCGGAGGTAGGGTCAGGGCGAGAGGAGGAGCTGGGCACAAACCACGGGAGCAAGGAATTCCGGCGTGGGTGGAAGTGTTTAAAATCTTCATCTTTGAGGTGCTTCCCTGAGTGCATGTATTAGCCCGGACTCTCTGGGAATTCTGCCCTGAGAAGGGTTAGTTTTGATGAATGGAGATGATACCTCAATTAATGCTGAAAATCACCAAAAGTCGTGCTGACCACGGGTCATGGTCAGCTGGTGTCTGCAGGATCGCAGTCGTCACAGTCAGACTGCCGTGGTGGGACCAAGGAGGCAGCTGGGGTGCTAGTCAGCGCTATGTGAGGCACACTGAGCTCCCCCCATGCCCTCTGTCCGAGCCTTGTCTGTTTTCTATGTCACACTTGGCAGATAATTATTCTAAAATTCTGTTTGTAACACGTTTATTTGAAACAAGAATTTTTTGTTATTTTTGTGAAATTTAGATTTAATTGGATGCACAGTTTTGTTTTTTTAAACCAAGGCAGCCCTACTAATAGAGGAAGTAGATCTGGGTTAAGAGGGGGGGACTTTAAAAAAAAAGTTCGTTGAAAAAAGAATGGATTTAAGAGATAAGTTTAATCCTTGTGCCAAAAAAATGGAGATCTTGAAATCTGTATATTTTGTCGCGATACATATTTTCCACGAGGTTTTTGAAAGTACCCTCGTGCGAGGGTGGAACTCAGCTGCATGTTAAGTGAACAGAAGGGTTGTCAGTCTCTGCCTTCCCAAACTCCCTGAGGCCTGGGCTCTCCACGGCCTTCTCCCTTAATCCCACCTCCTCCAGGCAGCCCCCCGTGATAGATGAGCTCCCATCACCTGTGCATTCCCGATCTGCTTTTGTTCAGACCCATGGCCGGCCGGCTGCCAAAGGCATCACCAGGACTCAGTACCGGTCTGGCGACAGTAAGCATTTTCGTGCCAGGACCAGTGGTTCCTGGTGCCGGTGGGGTAGCGGGTGCCATCCGCTTCAGGGATGCTCGGAGCCAGGCTGATGGCTGAGTGGCAGCACTGCTCTTACATAATCGGCTTCTCTCCTCCTTTCTCTCTCCAGAGCCAGACTTCACACTGAGCAGCTGCGGTCGGAGGAATCCGAGAAAGCGCCACCCAGCCCCGGATTCCAGGGGCCTGCTGGGGCCTCTCGCCTTCCTCCTCCGGAAGGAAGGAAGACCCCAAGGCCACAGTCTTGAGCCGGCTCAGGGGCTACCATGGGCCTGGCTGCTGCCACGCCCCGGCTGCCCTCCCCACTGCTAGGCTGATAGGGAGCCAGGAGCATTTGGCACCCCCTGCTGCCCAGCCCCGCCCTCGGGCCAGCCCTTGCTGACTTGGTGGCCACCTCTGCTCACCCGAGGCCATGTAGGCCCCCCAAGCTCAGGCCTCTGTGGATACAGCGCCGGGGGACAGCGCCTCTGCTCTCAGAGGACCCAGCCCACCACCATGCCCTGGGGATTCGTCTGGGTACACTGTGAGTACTGGGGATCCCCTGGGTACCTGACCTCCTGTGACCCCCTCCTTCCCCGTGGCCTTGGCCCAGAGCCAGGCTCAGCCGTAACCACGGCAACCTGTCCTGACTGGTGAGATGTTGAGATGCTTCCCAATGTATCTGAAGGTGTGCACAGTGGAACTTCCATGGCTCGCTCCTCCTCCCCCCACACCTGCTCTCCGCCCTTATGCCAGGCATAAGGCTCTGGCCCGGTGGATGCTGTGAGCAGGCTGGACAACAGCAGCTCACCTTCTCAGATGCGCTGAGGCCAGGACTGCTATGGGAACAGAGGCAGTAGAGAGGATTTCCACTTGCTTGGGTGTGGCCATTACGGGTGGGCAGGGTGGGGGTAGGGTGGGGCGAGGGGGGCTGCTCCAGAAAGAGTGCAGGGACCCAGGTGCCTGGAAAGGCAGCCCTGTACCCCCTGGCATCCCCATCCCTTCCATTCGCAGCACAGCACACACTAAAAAGCAGAATCAAAGTGCTGTGGAGACAGAAGAGTAAGTTGAAAATGAAGATAGAGAAACACAGAGGAGGCTATCTGGAAATGTCTCGTGTCTGCCAGGTGGCAGGCCTGAGCGCCTGTCATCATCTGAGGTTCAGTGCAATGGAAAGTCAATTCAACCTGTCTTCCTGGTGTCTCCCACGTGCCCACTAGGGAGTCAGGGCCATGGCAGCGAGACCTCACCTGCCCACATGGTCCAGCACACATCAGGTGCTCAGGACCTGTGTGCCAGCCAAATGAGTCTGGGGGAGCCGGAGCCTGCAGCGACTGCAGAGGGGAGCAGGGCCTACCCCCTCACCACTGTGGACGGAGATGACCTAGCAGACCCTGGCATCCTGGAAGCGTTTAGGTTGTGTGGGGGTGAGCTGCTAGGTGCAGCAGTCTGGTATCAAGGCAGGGCACAAGCAGAGGCTCAGCTTGGGGAAGCTGGAGCTGGAGAGCTGGATTGGGTTTTGTGGGGCAGAGGCCTTGGGAACTGGGTAGAGAATGCCTGCCTCACTGGAGAATAGGGAGCCCCCTGGGTGAGGGGGGCTTGTGGGCTCAGGCAGGGGGAGGGAAAGTGCAGCGACCCTTAATGACACATCTGCTAGTGCTGGCCAGAATTGACATGAACCTTCCATTCCCCGAGCGGAAGTGAGAGTGAGAGACACAGTGCAGAATGGTCCTAGAAGGGAGCTTAGGACTAATGGGGAGGTGAGGGAAGGGGAGGGGTCAGCAGGTGGGCAAGGGGGTGCTGCCTGGAAGAGGGGACTAGGGACAGCTGGCTGCCTGAGTGAAGACTGCCTGTGGGTGGGCATCTCAGAACACCAGTGACAGATTTTCTCTCAGTCTGGCAGGGCAGAAATCAGAGCGGAGAATCCACTGGGACCTGCTCCCACTGAAGGTGGGAGGGGATGAACCTGCCTGGCTCTGGGCCCCGCCAGCCCTTGGCTTGTGACCACACCCCTCCTTCCCCTTCCCCCAGGCTTTGTCCTCTGCTCTTCTTGTATTTAGGGCCCCACCCCTAAGCCTGGCAGCCTCTCCTCTTGAGATCTTTCTGGTAAACACCTCTGCAAGGGTCCTGGGTTCCAGATGACACTGAATGAGAACGGGGTGGAGCGTCTGCTACTCCACATGCTACTTAAGCTCCGATGTGGCTGGCCACAGGGGCAAGGATGCCAGGCCTCATTTGTCAACTGCACAGTGGGACATGTGCTACCCCCCGCCATTACTCCCTGACCTCTCTCCAGCTTCCTCTTTCGTTTTGCAGACCCTGTAGGGAGGGGTTGGAGCTAGTGGGCAAGTGTGGCCTGGTGGCCATGTTTGTGCAGCTGCTGACCCCTTTTCTCCCCACTGCCACCTTTGGTCCTGGTGAAGGTGACAGGGTAGTGTTTGGGCTATAGGCTCAGAGGGAGGCGAGGAGAACAGGGTTTCACAGCAGCCCGTGGGCCTGTCTGTGCATGGCTGAGATGCAGCCCAGGCCTTAAGACCTCAGTGGCCAGACCTGGAGGCCCCAGCCGGTGAGACCGCCAAGGGCAGTGTGGATGGGTTTTGGGGATGGAGTGGGCAGCCTGTGAGCATTGCCATGGGGACAAGATGACCTAGTGTGGACAGAGACTGTTTTTAAAAAGGAAGGTGGGACTTGGGGTGTTTTCTGTGACATCCCTGTGGATCAGGTGTGGCCCTTGGGACATCACCTTGGAACTCTGGTGCCCTAGGCCCATGGTTTTCAGACTGTGGACCCTGGGCCAGCAGCCATGGATCACCTGGCTCTCTGCTTGTTGCTTGTTGGAAAAGCAAACTCCCTAGCTCTGTGTGTTCTGGGACTGCTGAATCGGAGGTCCTGGCTGGGGTTAGCCCTTCTGAGCCTTAAGCAGCTCCCCAGAGGAACTTGATCATGGTGTGGGTAACAGTGTCAGGGCGTCACCCCACGGATGGGCTGTCTGCTTGGGTGACCGGTGAACCAGATTGGTGGTGCTGAGAAAGAGACCTGTGTGTGTGTGTGTGTGTGTGTATGTGTGTGTGCGCGCGCGCGTGCATTCTGGAGAAGAACCTTGGGTGTGGCGGGGGAAGCCTTTGCAGGAGGCCTTCAGAATGAAGGGGCATTCAGGGCAGGGCCGCATGGAGAAAGCAACCTGAAGGCAGAAAGGAGGCCCAACCCACAGGGCTGTGAGTTCTCCTGACTCAAAGGGGGACCCAGAAAACAAGCAATGCAAACACTGGCCCGGTGTGTATGTTAATTTGCTTCCTCAGGCCCAGTCCTGCGCCCAGAGCAGGGGAGGAAAGCCGGTAGAAGCACAGGACAGAAGGCAGGCTTGCCAGAAACGGGGTTCTACAGCTGGGGGACTGGCAGGCTATTGCCGCACAAAGCACAGAGCCCCAGGAGCCCTGAGGATCCGAGCGGGAGTGGGAGGGTGCAGTGGACCACAGCAGGTGCAAGGCCGGGCCACAGGACTGAGTAGGCACGCACAGAGGAGGGGGAGACCATACAGGCCCACAGGTGGTACAGCCCTGGCCTGGGGGGAGGCTGCAAGGAAAAGCCCAATCAGAAAATCGGCTTCTTTGCTAACCAAGGATGAATCCAGGCCACGACAGCCTGCCTATCTTTGCAAAAAACAAAAAAGGGGGAATGGGGGCAGGTGGGAGTCAATAGTCGCTTCTGACTATGATAGCAGCAGCTTTTGATAGTGTACCATTAAAAAAAAAATGTCATTCAGTGTACAAAGATCGTAAACATTTCCCATGGAAATTCAGTACGTTTCTTTCTACCACAGTTCTCGAGCACACGTGTACATGAGGAATTCAAGGCAGGCCATAGGCTTCATCCCTTTAAAAACTTGGCACACGCCGTTCTCACCGCATAAACACACAATGCGCATCCTTGGACAGTGTGCTTCTTATTGGCTGCCTTCCTGAGTAGGGACTGTCCAAGGCCATGTACAATTTTTCAGTATTATGAAAATTATACTGTAGTACTAGTCTTTGTCCACAGATCTTTCACTCGTGTCTCTCTTTATTTTTTGTTTTCCTTCTGGAAATAAGTTCAGTGGGTCAGAGGGTGTGGACATGATTAAGACCATTAATAGCAAAAATTGCTTTCCAGGACGAGAGCTCCTGCTTCACTACTTTGCCAGCCCTGAGTGCTATTAACAGCAGCATGCGGGGGCGGGTGGCAGGGAGGGGCATCCCGAGCCTGGTGGGTGCAGCAGGCTAAGCTGAAGCGTGAGACATCTCATATCCCACGTGAGACTGTCGATCCAGCTCCCTGTGAACGCTCTCTGAAGTGCTTGGGCTCCTGACACCCATTTTGGAGACCTGGCTGGAATTCCAGGCTCCTGACTGTGGCCCGGCACAGTCCTGGCTGTGGCAGGCATTTGTAAACCTACAGATGGGTGAACAGTCTTTCTCTCTCTCTCACCATCTCTGTTGCTCTGCCTTTTGAATGAATGAATGAAGAATGAATGTTTGGGGGAGAAAGCTCCACACACAAAAAACCTTTCCTTTCTGATGGATGAAAAATGCCGTCTGATGGCTTGAAGGCTAATTTCTTGTATGAATGAGGTTGATCTAGGGAGTATATCTTGGCCTTTTGTTCTTTCTACTTTGATGAACTTAACTCATTCACACTAACTCATTCATACTTGCAAATCCTCAGATACGTTCCAAGCCTGTACAGGTAGGCACTTGTCACAAGGACTGTTTGGGGGTTATGGTGACCCCCAGTGGTAAAAGCTGGTAACGCTTTGGCAGAGGGTGACTCATGCATTGCAGGAAACTTGAATGGAATCTGCTTGCGTGGGATTTCTTAGCTGGCCTCAGCCACTGAAGTGGTACAGCAAATTGGGAGGGACACTGAGGCTAGAACATGGAAGAAAAATCACTTAGGTTAACAAAGAATCACTGCAGCCAGCATCCACATGTGAATCCCTAGATGGGAAACCCAGGCACAGGCTTTGAAAACATGAACCCCTTTCCCCAAGTCGGGGCAGGGCAGGAGAGGGAGGGGACTCCATGTCTTGGAGGCATATTTTGCTTCCCCACAGGATGCTGGTGGCCACACTGGGAGCCTGGAGCATGGTGCCAGGTACTCACGAGCTCTCATTGCCTGTGGTCCACAGATCTTGGGATCCTCCTGGGCATGACCTTGGGGAACGAGGGCCCGGAGGTGTGGCCTTTGGCCCACAGCAAGGACTGCATGGTCACTGGCTTCCTGAGGGACAAGCTACAATACAGAAATCGGCTTCAGTACATGGTAACCACACGGGCACTGGCTCTGCCCCCCAGCCCAGGGCTCACCTCATGGGGTGGAGGTGGGGGGCTGTGGGCTTCTTTGACTGCCTTTCTCCAACATACACACCCTGGATGCCAGCTCCTGCCCGTCTCTGGAGCTTATGTCCCTTCTTCCTGACCTAACCTTTAGTCCTATGACACAGCAAGGGACTCCTAGGACCCTGGGGACAATCCTAGGCTTTTGTTAGCGGGGAAGCTGGGATCCAGGAGTTGGCATGCTGGGTTCTGCTGGTAGAATGGAGGTGACTGTGGCATGCTCTCTGTGGTTTTTCTATGCCATTTCCCATGTGAGGCACACGGCTTGCAGTGTTGTGTGTGGCCACCACCATCTTATCCCCGCCCCACCATGAGCAGAAGGATCTGAGCATTCCGTTTGCCCTGTGTCCCAGAGGACAGCGGGCTGAGCTTTTTTTGTCCCTTTGGGGCAGCCAGACAGCTCCTCTCCTTGGAGAACCAACCTCTGCCAGCCAGGGGCTGGACCTGGGCTCTTCCCCTCTTCTACTCACATTCCTCTGGGAGCGTGGGGTTGGGGTGGGAGGAGAGGAGGGAGCCTGCCAGGTCCCCTCTGCCTCTGACCGTGCCTTGTGTCCTTGTGGCTCCTAGAAACACTACTTCCCCATCAACTACAGGATTGGCGTGCCTTACGAGGGGGTGCTCAGAATCGCCAACATCACCAGGCTGGTGAGGAGCCCCGTGACCCTGACATGGCGGGGGGGGGGCGGTGGGACAGGGTCTGAGCCTAGAGGCCTTCATGTCTGGGGGTTCCAGTGGTGTCCTCTGTCACCTGCAGCAGAGAGCCCGGGTAAGCGAGCAGGAGCTGCGCTATCTGTGGGTGCTGGTGAGTCTCAGTGCAGCTGAGTCGGTACAGGAAGTGCTGCTCGAGGGCCACCCATCCTGGAAGTACCTGCAGGAGGTGCAGACGTTGCTGCTGACTGTCCAGCGGAGCCTCCTGGTGAGCTGGCCCTGTGTGCACGTGTGTGTTGGGGGAGGGGGGTTCTGACAGCTATGGCTGAGGGCTGTGAGGGGAAATGCTGAATGCATAGAAGCTTCTGGTGTGTCTGGATGACTGTCTGGGGAGGGCAGGCTGGGATGTCCCCTGAGACCCAGATCCAGGATAAGCTCTTGCCCTGGATCCTGGGCAAAGCTTCCGGCTTTATGTCTGCGGCTATGAAACACATGAGATACCTCTTGGTGGGGAGGGAGGGGGAACCAGGGGGTCCCCAGCAGATGAAGTCAAGGTCCGTGAATTAGGATATAAAATATGCTGATGGCAGAGACACAGCACCACCTGTTCATGCAAACCCACAAAAGGGCACAAGGCAGAGCTTGAAGTTGGTGTGAGCCACAGACCTGAGTTACTTGTAACATTTAGTTCACTTAAGAGAAGAGGCCCCTCTCCCCCTCCCTGCTGGCTGGCTCAAACACTGGGCCTCCAAGTCCCCAAGTCATACAGAAGTGAGGGAACCGTGATCACGACACATCGTGCTGGGTGGGCATGCGCCATGGGTCCTGCTTCACCTCCGGCTCCCTCCCCACCCTCTCCAGTCCTCTTGGGACTGTCAGTGCACCTGCTGACCTGCTACACCAGCTGCCTGGCCCAGCCCTTGCCGGCATATCCAGCACCCGCTGAGAGCTTCCGATGATAAAAGGGCTCAGAGACCAGCAAGTGTTTGTGCAGCTGCTTAGATTCTCCCCAGGATGGAGCAGAGGGCGGCTCCCGCAGGCCTGCAGGCCTTGGCCGGCCTAGCAATGTGCATGGCTCTGCGAGGCGGCTCTGCGAGCCTCTCAGCGGGTGCGCAAGCCTGGATGCTCCTGTCTGCATCCTTGCAATCTAGCTATTTTTCGTTCTCATTCAGCTGGCTTCCAAATCTCTCTCCTACAAGCCTGGTTTTTTAAGATGGATTTAACTGATCAGGGCAGGCATTTGGTGCAGCAGTTAAGTCACTGCTTGGGCTGCTCACCTCCTGATTCGGAGTGCCTCAGCCCTGCTTCCAATCCAGCTTCCTGTTACTGCACGCCCTTGGAGGCAGCAGGTTGATGGTGCAAGTTCATGGGTCCCTGCCAGCCACGTAGGAGGCTTAAGCTGAGTTCTGGGCCCCTGGTTGTTATAAGTGTTTGGGGAGTGAACTAGTAGATGGAAGGTGTCTCTCTGCCTTTTGAACAAAATGGAGAGAGAGAAGAGCAGAGAGACATACACATGGCCTTGGAGAGTCATTTTACTGCTGGGTTCCAGACCTGTCCCTTCCTCGTGAAGGGAGGGGGTTGAGATGAAGCCTGGAGTTGTCTCCCAGCTGCGATTCAATGAGGGCTTCCTCTGGACTCAGGGCTCTGCCTTGTTCCTGCGCCACCTTCCCTCCTTATACTCTTTTCAAAACAAGGTGCTGGGCCACCATCTACTGCCTTCCCAGACCATCATCAGGGAACAGGATTGTAAGTGGAGCCCACTGGTACTCAATCCAATGCCCATATGGGATGCTGGTGCCACAGATGGAAGTTTAGCTTGCTATACCATCGTGTTACCTCCACCCACCACCCCACCCCGTTTGGTTTTTTTTTTAAAGGTTTATTTATTGTTATTGCAAAGTCAGATATACAGAGAGGAGAGACAGAGAGGAAGGTCTTCCATCTGATGATTCACTCCCCAAGTGGCCGCAACGGCCGGAGCTGCGCTGATCTGAAGCCAGGAGCCAGGAAATTCCTCCTGGTCTCCCACTCGGGTTCAGGAACCCAAGGCTTTGGGGCGTCCCCAACTGCTTTTTCAGGCCACAAGCAGGGAGCTGGATGGGAAGCGGGGGTTGCTGGGATTAGAACCGGCGCCCATATGGGATCCCGGCGTGTTCAAGGCAAGGACTTTAGCTGCTAGGCTACCATGCCAGGTCTCCCGTTTAGCTTTGTCGAGAAGCTGTTTTCCTGTTGGAAGCTTCCGGTGGAGGGTCTCCCTTCTTGGCTCTTCTTGGCCTTGAGTGTCAGGGCTCTCCTCCAGACAGGGCCGGTAGGGAGTGGGCCACAGAGCTGGGACTTCTTCGCCTCTGGCCATCCCTTCCCTCCCCTCTGGGGACTTGTATCCTGCAGCTGCTGTAGCAGCAAACTCCTGCAAACCTGGGGCCTCAGAGAGAAATGCATCTGCTAGCCATCAGGGAGGCCCCAGGGAAGGGCCCTCCTCACCTCTCCTGGCTTGTGGCAGCACCTCAGATGGCCTCTGTCCTGGGAACATGCCCATTCCCTCAGGACACTCCCGCTGGACTCATGGCCCACCTTGAGGCCCTTAATGACGCCCATAGAGCCCTGGGAGACCCCTTGCCTGGGCTGCTGCCTCCTCCAGGAAGGCCACTGTCCTCTGAAGCTCTCGGGGTCCGCCAGCAGCCCTGGCTTCTCCTCATGGGCATCTGCCCTTTGGGGTGACCCATGGCCTTCTGGGTCGGAGTGCTGTGGAGTGAAGGGCTCTGAGCTCCGATTTGGACACTGGGCTTCCTGTGGTGTTTATGCCTCAGGATACATCCTGTGGGCTTGTCTGAGGATGAGGGACAGCTCTGTTTTCACAAGGTGTGTGGGGGAGAAGGGGGCAGGTCATCCTGGGTTAGGACCACAAAAATGCGGCCTGTCTTTTCCCCCATCTTGGGCTTGGTTGCGGGGTGGCCTTTGTGGGAACCTTCCGGCACCTGCAGAGAGAACCTCACAGCCGCCCTGTGGTGTGGCCTCAGCCCTCACTGCCCGGTGGGTTTGTTTTCTCTCTCCCTTCCTTCCAGGACGTGGAGGTCAGCCCCAAGGTAGAGGCCGTGCTGTCCCTCCTCAACGCTCCCCGACTCAGCCTCAAGCTGGTGCGGCCCAAAGCCCTGCTGGACAACTGCTTCAGGGTCATGGAGCTGCTCTACTGCCCATGCTGTAAGGCGCCCCCTGTGGGCTGGGAGGACGTGGGGGTCAGGAGGCTCAGTGGGTGCACCTGGCGCCGGCCCTGGAGGCGGGTCAGCCTTGGAAGCCGGAAGCTGGCCCACTTCCGGAGCCCGTGGTTAGGCGCCCGGGGCAGGCCGGAGGTAATGGACGTCCTTCGCCTCTCTCCGACTCTCTGGCAGGTAAGCGGAGCTCCGTGCTGAACTGGCAGGACTGCGAGGCGCTGGACCCGCCGCCACCCCATGGCCCCGAGCCCTCGCTGCAGTGTGCGGGCCCCCGGCTGTCCCCCACCTCCGTGCCCGGTCCTCCGGACGCCCACGCGGGACGCCAGGCTCCGTGACGCCACTCCGGGCCCATGGCCGCCTGCCCTGGGCGGCCGGCGTGACTCAGTGGCCTGGGCCGTGCGTGATTCAGCTGGGGTGGTGGTGGTGGTCGTGGCCGCGGGGCAGAGCACTCCTGGGAAGGGGTGTCTCTTGGGGCGCTGTGGGGCCGGTGCTGTGCAGCCGCCCAGCTTGGCGTCCGGCCCGCTCACCTGTGCCGAGTGCTGCCGGGCCAGGGCAGGCCCCAGCTGGGGCTGGTCGGGGAGGATGCCGCGGCCCAGAGCTCTGCTCTGCGGGCAGGAGGGGAGGCCCGCTGGGGGGCGCCGTCAGATGCCACATCTTGCCACAGTGGATGCTCTCCCAGTTTATTTTTTCTATTAAATATTCGCTTTTATTCAGTTTGGCTTGCCCTTGCAGACAAGCTTAGAAGGGTGGTGGTGACGGCCGTGGCAGGGAGTCGGCCTAGGGCGAAGGGGAGGAGGGCCTGGGGGATTGGTCTAGGATCTGGGGCTCAGGAGAGATGGAATTGAAGTGGACGGAGCCTTAGAGAAGGGCTGAGTGAGGCACTGGCCTTCCCTGCAAAGCCTGTCAGCCTTTTGGGGTGGGAGGGGGCTGGCCGTTTCCAGTCTGTGATTTGGCCATCCTATTGTGTCTGTCCTGTCCCCGACAGCCTCCAGCAGCTGTCTGGAATGGGAAGGGCTTGGGGTGAGGGGTCTGGGGCCCCAACAAGCAGGCAGAGGTGAGAGTGTTAATTACAGTACAACTTTATTAATACTGGGAACTTCACAGTGCATTTGTTACTTGTAGCAGTGACTACTTCAATCAAGGGGAGGGCAGAGTGAAGGGGGCAGAGAGGAGAGAATTTATCCAAAAAACCTGACAGAACAGGAAGAAAACGACACAAGGTGGGATGGAGGGGGTGGCCAGTGGCCAGGGTGAGAAGAAACCAGGAGGTGCAGCCTGGGGTAGAAAAATAAATTAAAAAAAAGGAACAAGTTAACAGCACCAGAAAAGTTACTTCAGGCAAAAGAAGCTTTTGAAAAGAGTATTTCTCTGTACAAAATGAGAAAGCAAATGAAAGTAAAGAATCCCTCCCACCCTCCAACCAAAATCTGAGAAGTGGGGAGGTTGGCTCGGCTCGGATCCAGGGACAGGCCTACGAGGTGCTCGCTAAACAGGTAAGGGTGGAGTATGTATGTACAGCCTTGGAGGCCTCAGAGGGCTGCAGGGAGCTGGATGGGGGTCCACACAGCTGTGCTGAACTCCCCATGGACTCTTCCTCACAGGGCATCCAGGCCCAGCCACCCCTGTGGGAACAGAGGCCAGGGCTGCCCACTGCCTCCCCCCACATCCCGTACCCCCCTCAGTCATCCCACCTGGCACTCCCTGAGGCAGCCCTGGGAGGACCGTGCGCCCAGAAATCCCACCCTTGGGGCTTCCCAGCCCAGTGGGTCATCTGCTCTGCTGGCCCCCAGCCACTGAGGCTCAGGAGCTTTGGGGGAGCCCTGGGGAAGCTTCCTGCCCCCTCAGCTCCACCCAGCTGGCTGTGCTGCTGCAGTCCCAGTTTATGGGACTCCCAGGGGGCTGAACCTGAGCCCCGGGTCGGCTCTAACTCTGCGCCACCCCAGGCTCGGACACCCTGCCCTGTGGCCCACACACTGCTTGGATCCCTGCTGTGCTGCCCACCTCTAGGTCCACCTGGAATCCCTCCACATGCCCTAGGCTCACATGCTTTCTCCTGCTCACGTGGTGACTCAGGTGTGGGTGAGAGCCCTGCTCCCGCCTCCCCCACCCGGCCACCTTCTCCCCTGGGGCGGCATCTCCTCTGGCAATAGTCAAAGCCAGCCTTCCAGGGCTTGCTTTTCTGCCAGGGGTCTGCAGTCAGTCACCATGGCAGGCCAGCCCCATGGGGCCTGACCTTGCCCACTCCACCCTTCTTTTGGCTATATTTAGGACCCTGGGGGCGGAGAGAGACAGCTCCCCGGGCTTTTGGGAGCCCCTTTCCTCTTTCTGCTCCTGTCCCGAGCCCACCTGTCTTTCAGGCACTGGCAGACAAATACCCTGTTCCGTCACCTTGTACCCACAGTCCTCACCCAGAGCCAGCTCCATTTATTATAGTCAAAATACCCCCAACCCCCACCTCCAGAGGTGGCGGAAACTGACCCCAAAGTGCCACCTGTTCATGTATTGTGCCCAGCTGAAAACTGGGTACCTGCAAACAGCTGTGACCCCAGGGATCTCTTGTCCCTGTTGGTCCCACCTCACAGGGGAGGGGAAGCTACCCTAGGGTCCCCTGAGCTCCCCGGCCTCCAACCTGCTCCCCGAACCCCAGCCATGAAATTGGTTCAGCTGACTGAGCACCTGGCTCCTCCCTCATCTCCCAGGTGGGGAGGCCCTGGGCAGGCAGAGGGGCAGAAGGGGAGGCGAGTGCAGTCCTAGTGGGGAAGGGGCAGCCGGCCCTTGGGGAGCGGCTGGCCTGTGTGTGCACCCCAGGCCGGGCAGGACTGGGATGGTGAGGACCGCTGGCTGGTCCCATGCGCTCACTGGAGGATGGGACAGGCAGGGCCTGCACGGAGGGCATGGAGGGACAGAGGCGGCAAGGAGAATAGAAAACAGGCTCCACAACCAGTTCGAGGCCTGTGGCTCGGACTTGGCAAGGTTTGTTGAAGTCACTTCCTGCTGAGATGCCCAAGTCCTAGCTGGGTGTCTGGTTCTGTCAGGTGGCTTTGCCTCTCCCGGGTTCTGTCCTCTACCCTGGCTATGCCTCCACTCTGGGTGGCCAGCAGCTGCTCACAGACCAGGCCACCAGCTTGCACAGGGCCCGAGAGGGCAGGTAGGTGGTGCCATCATAAGATGCGGGGAGCCGACCTGTCGTTGGTGACGGTCCTGCGCAGCCGGACCCCGCGCCGAATGGCCACCAGCATGTCTTCAGCTGGAGGGTCACTGGTGGCGGCCGGGGGAGGGGTAGGGGTCTCCTCTGTGGGCGTGGCCGACAGGGCTGTGGGGAAGGGGAACTGGCCCTCACCCAGGGCGTGGGCACCTGCCACCAGCTCCCCGAGCTTCTCTACCAGGCTGTGCCGGTTGGCGGCCAGCCGCTGCTCGTCGTCGTCCTCGGCTGCCAGCCCGACCCCTGTCCCCGGGTAGCCAGTTGCCTCGGGGGATGGGCTACCCCAGGCTGTGTTGGGCAGGCTGAGCCGCTTCGGCGAGGCCTTGGCAAGGTCCGGTGCCAGGGGCGAGGCAGCCTCGTCGGTGTAGAACACACATTCCTCACTGCCCGCCCGTGTGGGCCCCACGTAGCCAGGGGAGTCGGGCACCGTAGGTGTCTTTACAGGGACGATGGGTGGCCGGATGGGGATGGGGCCGGCGCTGGACAGTGCGCGCCGCACCGTGGGTTTGGTGGAGGGCGTGCGGCGGATGGTGGCCACGCCAGGGGGTGCGCCTGTGGGCAGCCCCGCCGTGGGCAGGCCAGCTGTGGAGGCCGGGCGCTTGGTCTGGATTAGGCGGCGGTAGTTCTGGGCGATGTTGCTGTTGCGTGGGATGGTGGAGGACTTGTCGAACTCGGGTGGACCCTCGCTGTCGGCATCCCCATTCACTGAGTAGCAGTCGTAGTCGGAGCCTGGCAGGGGATGTGGGTGTGGATGCTGTGCGTCTCGCCCTCCCCACCTCCACCCCGCCCCGTATTGGGGGACAGCCTTGCCCCGCCTACCTTGGGAGGGGATGGTGTCCTCTGAGCACGAGGGCGTGGTAGTCTGGGTGCTGTAGCCGCTGGAGTACTGCAGCGAGTCTCGGCTGCTCTTCTGGTGCTCCAGGCTCAGTCCGCGAGTTAGGACCATGGCCAGGTCGCTGGCTGCTGGGGACACCTCCTCCCCGTGCTGAGGGAGGCAATGGTGTAGGCTGAGGCCTTGCTCCCTGCTGGCTTCCTCCACCAAGGACTCCCAGCAGCAGCCCCTAGACCACCTGCACTGACCAGATGGTCACAGAGCTGCCACCTACCTTGGCTGCAATGGTGGCAGGGGACATCCGGGGCCGTGGTGCCTCCTCTCCACCAGGGCCTAGGCCACTTCCGCTGGCCAGGCCTGGTTCCGTGTCTCGGAGGAGCTCCACCCTGTCCTTCCTGCGCTGCAGGGTGGTGCCTGAGGGCTGCTCGTGGGGGCCAGCCTTGGTCCAGTCCTGTGGAGTGTTGCAGGCAGGTCAGGGGGGGCCCTAGTACTGCTGCCCGCGCTGGGGGTGGGAGGGAGGGGGCCTCATTGTGGCGAAGGCTCAGGGTGTGCAGGTCTGAGAGGCTGCTGGGTCACTGTTAAGGCTAAGACTAGAACCTGGAGGGCAGCTGTGACTCCTTGGTGCTACCAGGTCGTGGGGTGAGGACATGATGCCCTGGAGGCAAAGCAGTGGCCGCAGTGGGTGGCCCGGTAGCTCGTCTTTCAGGGACAGGTATGGGGCAAAGAGCTGCTGATGGCCCTGGGGGCAGGGCTGGTGCACTGACCGAGGTGGGAGAGCTGCACTCGCTAACCGACTGGCAGGTTTCCGAGGCCTCGGAAGACGCAGAGCTGGAGGACTTCTGCCATGCAGAGGCGCGCAGGGGCCGACAGGGGCAGGGAGAAAAAAGGCTCTGGTCAGGGCAGCCACATGCACTGGGCTGCTCTGTTTAGCACCCACCCTGCGCCCCTGGTGTCGCACCCCAGGACTGGGCTGCTGCCAGCCTAGAGGCAGCTGGGTCAGTGTTTCCTCAGTCCAGGGCCATCCTATGCTGGCTCAGTCTGTGTGTGTGGGCAGCACTCCGGCAGCGGTTTCTACCGAGCCCAGAGGTGAAGTTGGGGCTGGAGCCTTGGGGTGCGAGGGGGCTGTCCAGGCAGCGAGCACAGCTGGTGACGAGCCACAGGGACTGTAGTGAACTGAGGTGATGCCCTGGCAGGGGGCAGACCATCCTCTGGAGAAGGAGCTGGTGGTGTGAGGGCCCAGCTGTTTATACTGAGCTGCTCCTGCTGGGTCTACTGCTTTTTCTGGCCTTGTTGTGGAGCCGTAATCCCCGGGGGGTTTGGGCACCCCTGTCTCTTCCTCCTGTTTTTGACACTGGAACTCACACCCTTTTCCATGTCACATGACAAGCTCGCCTTCCCAGCCTCCAAAGGCAGAGCCCTTCCTGAGCCCTCGGCCAGCCTGCCCACTCCCTCTGAGCCCAAGGTCTGCCCCAAACCCTCTCCCTCCTCTCAGGTGCCAGCAAGTGGGCAGGGGTTGTGTGTATTGGTCAGCCAAGGCCCAGCACCTGGGCAATTGCCATCTGTACTGATACCACATGGCTCATTCTAGTACCATTTCAGTCACTAGTTTAAAGAGACCCTGACCAGAGCTGGTCAGGCTGCAATTAATTTTAAACTGCTTAAAACAGTCTCTGTATGGTCTCGTCTTCCAGTTGTCTTCCCCCACCTTGCAAGATGAGGGAGTCCCTCTGGCTGCTCCGAGCCACAGGTCATATTTTCCCCACTTGCTAAATTATACAAGTTTCTCTGCCCATCTCTTTAAAAAAAAATTTTTTTTTTTTATTTGAAAGAGTTAGGGAGAGAGGAGGAGAGACGGAGATCCTCTGCCTGCTGACTCACTTCCCAGATGGCCACAATCGCCAGAGCTGGGCTGGTGTAAAGCCAGAAGCCTGGAGCTTCTTTGTGGGTGGTGGAACCCAAGGACCTGCTGAGCCATCCTCCACTGTCTTTCCAGGCCCATTAGCAGGGAACTGGGTTGGAGCTTGAACCAGTATCCAGGTGATGCTGGTGCCACAGTTGAAGGTTTAATCCACGGTGCCAGGGCCCCGGTCCTGCCCCCTCTAAGTGTGCGCTGCTCCCCAGTGTCAGCCTGTGCCTGGTTAAGCGACACAGCTCTCCCATGGCCTCTCACTGTTGAACTGTTCTGTCATCGTGCCTCCTGAGCCTTTAGTCATCCACAGAGACACTCAGGATTTTACTGGGTTTCCCAACACCTTGGTAAAGGAACTCCAGTGTTCCACAACTGTTCTGCAGAGGCTGCTGCTTCATCTGGTGTATTCCTTTAAAAAGTGCTGCTGCCTTAACTTACAGGTGTTAGAGGGCTGTTTTCAAAAGTTAGCTTTTGTATCTTTAAAGTCCAAAGCGGGTGGTGGGGGGACCTGTCCATTTCCACATTTTTTTGTTCTTTGATGTATTTGTAGGACAGGGGCTCATGTCACGTGCTGATCCTTTTTTTTTTTTTGCCAAGTTTTTCTATGTTGTTGTAACTGACTTAAGGAGCAACACTTTATGTAGCTCTGAAAGTTTTATGTTTGTTGCTGTTACTGTAAATCTTTCCCTATTGCTAAGTGATGCTCAGCTTTAACTCCTGATTGGATGTGGCCCCATCTCTGGTTGTTACCACACTGAAGTTAGGGGTCCTTTTCCCTGAACCAAGCAGTTTACACCTTTGCCGGTTCTTAGTATCTGAGGCTGTGGCCTGGAGGCTTCAGCTACATCCCTGGACCTCTCAAAAGAGGAAGCTCTCACTGGGAGAGAACCGCCCAAGCCGAGTTGTGGGACATGCTGAAGATGTGTGTGCTGTTGATTGCACAGTGGTGCTGTGTTCATGGAAGGTTCTGATATTTTAGATGCCAGCATTGCAGAGCAGGTCGCCTACCAACGGCCTCTGCCACATCCATCCTGTCCTGCATCTCATGTGTGTGATGGAACACTCCCAAATTCTGACTATCCAGGGTCAGCAAACTGGCTCAGACCTCCCCAGCCATGTTTCCACCCTTGTTGGCAACCCTGACCTTTTTTCAGGCAGCCAATGCCAGATCTACTAGGAGTCAGCGAGAGGAAACCGGGTGTGGGAACCAACCAGAGATCCGAAGGGGCCCTTCCCAGAAAGGGATCCGCAAAGGGCAGCAGCATCCCCAAGGACATGCGGATGTGCAGCACAGGGGAGTACTGCTTCCACGACCCAGGGCGGCTTCTACGCCAAAGACATGGAACAGCGCTGTCCCTGTCCTGTGAAGAGGAGCGTCCGCTGGGATGGCCACCTTGAGGGACCTGACAAGGATGTGTCCTGCCACCCAGCGACCCTACTCACAGGTGTGTGCTGCACATGGCTGCACCATCAACACTACCGCAGCCAAGGAGCTGTGGGTTCCCCTCACGTCCATCAGCTGGAGTGGCCACATCCAGTGAGCGGGACACACGCCTCCAGGTGAACACAGGTCAGTCTTGGGGACAGGAGGCTGAGCAGGAGGCACTTCACAAAGTTTGCAGAGAAATGCAACTAGAAGATATTTACTATGGCAGGAAAATATCTGAAGTCATGCCTAGTATTTTATTCCTCCATAGTATACATTTTCCATGAACTCTGAGTACTGAAAAGTTCATCCAGCTCAGGGAGTGGTTAATCTTGGGGGGCATTAAGCAACTGGAGGGGCTCCCGGCCTGTTGGCTCCATAGGTGTGTGGCTCGTGCCCAGTGACCTTTCCGCATGCACAGAACTGGACATTGGGAAGACTAAGACGTGGCAGTGATGGACATACAGCACAGGCCCTCAGGTAAACGGCTCTGTGGCTCGTCCCCGCATAGGAGTTCTTATTGACACAGGCAAAGCCTCTGTTGTGGGGTGGGGAGGCGTGGCAGACATTACCTAATCAGGGAACATGGTGCCCTCAGCAGTGAGGCAGTGGCACCATGTGGCCAGCTCCCCATCACTCCTGCATGCCCTCTCAAGCTGCTGTTTTGGGAGAGAAGAGACAGTGCCGTGTGTAATAGGTGAAGCCTCCACCTGAGTGCTGGCATTTCAGGAACACTGGTTTGATTCCTGGCTAATGGGCCTGGAAAGGCAGTGGAGAACAATTCAGGTCCTTAGTCCCTGAACCCATGTGGGAGATCCAGATGAAGCTCCAAGCTTCTGGCTTTCAATCAGTCCAGCTTTGGTTGTTGGGCCACTTGGGGAGTAAACTAGGGAATGGAAGAGCTCTGTCTCCTCTCTTCTCCTCTATAACTCTTCCTTTTGAATAATTGTTTTTTTTTTTAAGTAAAAGCAGAGATGTGCTCCCCAGCTGCTGGCTTACTCCCTAAATGCTCCAACGACCAGGGCTGCATCAGGCTTGATGCCAAGTCTCCCATATGCATGACCTGATGCCATCTGCTGTCTCCTACGGTGCCAGCCTCAGGAACGGAGCTGGGTCTCAAACCCAGGTCCTCTGTCCCTGAGCTCTTGTTCTCTCAATCAGGCAGCAGACAAACCCAAACTGAGAGACAGTCTACAAAATACCCGAGTGATACTCCTTGAAAGACAGGGCCCTCTACTCAGAGGCAGCAGGACACACCTGAGAAAAGCTCATAGCTGCCAGTGTTGGACCAACATTGATCTTGGAGTTGAGAACTGTTGGTTTCAGAAGACGCCAACATAATTAGTCAGTTAGAAATCAACAAAGATGTCAGTATTAGGGAGATGGTGGAAAGGGATTCAGGGACTCTTTGCAACTTCTTTACATTTGTAAAAGGGTTTCAAGGCAAAAGTTAATCCACTCTGGTTATTTTGACAGCAAGGAAAGGGGAAAAAAGACTGGAAGACAGATCTCAAGAAACTATAGTTTGGAGACACATGAAGATGGAGAATGAGTTACAGACTGAGAAGGTCTGACACCTCTGCAGGAGCGGAAGTGGGAGCTGGGAGGTAACAGCTGAAAACTCTAGAGCCAAAGACTTGAGTAAGTTTGGGAGCAGTAAGCCTACGCTGTGGAGTCCCCGTAGCTAAATGCAAGCAAAGGGCTGGAAACAGGCATGTCAGTCAGTGGAGGAACAGCATACCACCCCATGCGCTCAAGTCCCTGGCACAACCAGCTCTCAGTCAGGACATGGGGAAGCAGGTTTGCAGAACTTGCCATCACAGCCCTGTTCTGCCTGTACCTCTAAGTGATGCTGTTTAATGTGGGGAGAAGGCTCTGAGGGCCCCAACAAGGAGCTCAGTGAACGCGGGGACCCGGATGCTGATAGGCACCCCTGGGCATCTGCACAAGACACTGTGGAGCTCACTGGGTACCTGCACAGAATCCACAGTGTCTCCACGCTCAAAGCTCTCAAGTCATTTAGGATGTCCAACAGGAGGTGGACTGTGTCTTTTTAGGGGAACAAGACAAGAACAAAATCTTTTCATTTACAGGTGCAACATCTTCCCTGCAGATTCTGAGCTGTGCGTGTGAAGCCCACGGACGTGCAAGGCTGACTGCACCAATAAGGACCGCATTAAAAACACATGTCATTGGCGGGGAGGGTACAAAAAAAAAGCCTCAGCTGGGAAGGAGTGGGGAACTAAACTCTATGAAGGTCTTTGATGTTTTCAGAAAGGGAATTCTGACTCTGCTAAGGCTGCGTGGTACAATATCAAGGTAACCTGCAACCCAGCCTGGTGGAGCAGAAGTGGGAGAAAAGACAAAGCAGAACACCAGGGAAGAAGCACAAAAGTAAACAAGTCTCTGTTTGAGCCATTCAGGTCTGAGCAGCTCAGCGACTGTCGTCTACGGGGACGGGCCGCAGTGGCGCCTGCGCTACGAGGGGCTCAGGTGCTCAGTTCACATCCTGGCTGCTGCACTCCTGCGACAGCTCCCTGCTCGTGCACCCTGGCACGGCAGCAAATGATGGCCCAAGGTTGTGGGCCCTGTGAGCCTGCGTGGGCGGCTCAGGAGTTCTGCCCCAGCCTTGGCTGTTGTGGCAAGCTTACTTGGGGAGTAAGCTGCAGATGAAGTGTTCACTCCCTCTCTCTGCCTCTCAATAAAATATAAACATACATATTTTAAAGAGGTGGTTGTCTCATAGAAAATAAAGGCGTATGCTGTTTACTCACTCATCTAACACAGAACAATAAAGTAGACTCCAAGCAGAGACATAGGACGGGAACGTAAATGGTGAGGAGAACCAAGTCCCGACAGTTGTCAGCAGCCGGAAGCTCACCCGAGGCTGCTGCTCCCCGCAGGGCCTGACGCCCCCTTACCTGGCTGGTGATGTCTGAAGGCATGGGTGAGGGGGGCTTGGAGTAGGTTGCATCCTGGGAGACGAAGCCAGAGTCATGGGAAGAGACACTGGAGAGGCGGGCAGTGGCGGTGGCTGGCTGTGCCAGGCTGCGGTAGCGACAGGTGGAACTGGGTGAGTATGTTTGGGCACCCCCAGGCCATGGGGTTCCGCCACCCTTGGCACTGCTACCGCTGCTTGGGGCACTAAGGGAGTGAGGGAGGAGGGCACAGCGGCCAGATGGGAAAACACAGAGGTGTGTGTTTGGGGGGGTGACAGACGAGGGTTGGCAAGAAGGGTGGGGGCAAAGGAAGGAAAATACAATGTCAGATGACGAGGTCCTGGGATCCAGGTGTTGCAGAGGGTGAGCCGGGCAGGGCACATGCCACCTGCCCCTGAGCAGACAGCCCCTCTGCAAGGAACAGTGGTTGCCCTTAGGGCGCAACCAGGGGAGCTGAGTCCTGAGGACTCGTCAAGGGCCGGGTATCTGCTGGCAGGTACATGGCCCTTGCCAAGCCTGGTGTTGGCCATCTCACTGGCTCTCGGCGTCCACCAGTTGGTGTTGTCTCTCTGTCTAGCATGGAGAGCACCTTCCACGTGGGTCAGGAACCCACTGTCCCGCCATCCCTCGATGGTGCCTGGCCCTTGGGAGCCCAGACCTGGTGTAGTTCCTTACCCTGAGACAGCGTTCCTGCCAACAAAGCTGACCCTACTCCCACACACAACCTGCAAGTCCCTGGAGCTCCTGTCCTTGTTCACAACCTCCCTGCCAGGCCTAGCTTAGGTCTATGCCAGTTCCCAGGAGGGGGACGGTGCTGGGGAGAGGGGTGCTTGGCACCTTCCCTGCCCAGAAACCTACAGAGTGGACATCCACTCTGCTATGGCCCTGGTGCCAGCCCAGGGGAGGGTCCCTGCTCCTGAGCTCACCCCCAGGTGAGCACCAGCCTGGGCACCAGCTCTGAGCAGTAGGCCAGGCTAAATTGCCCCTGACCTTGTAGTCTCAGCCTATGTTCCCAGAGGCCAATTGTTTTACCTCTCAGTGGGCTGGACAGCCGCCCCCGCCAAGGGAGTGGTGTTAGGAGTCAATGAAGACAATGCTGCAGGCACTTGGCACCAGGCACCTGACTAAGCCATCTCCTCTCTCCTGCAAAGTGCAGGTCCTTTGGCACCTGGGACCCTGAAGGCTTCTGGAAGCAGCTGTGCTGGGTGCCTCCCTGCCCTGAGGGCCCAGCCCTGCTCACCTGCACATGCTGGACTTGCGGGAGCTGGAGCTGCTGGGTGATGAGGGCGGGGTCTGGTAGGACCAGCTGTAGTCGGAGCCCTTCAGGTCCTTGATCACCTGGGCAGGGGTAGGGAAGGGGTGGTGTGACTGGGGGTGGTCTTGACCCTGCAGAAAGCTGGGTAACCTGCATCTCTGTAGGGAGACACCAGGGGGCGCCAGCTCTCTCTGATCCCCTTTGGCTCCTCTGTAATGAGTTGGGCTTCCAGGCCTGGCCTGGGTCAGGTAGGGAACAGGGGAGACCCAGGAGCTCCCAAGGGCCAGGCCAGCCAATGACACCCTGGGGTTGTCAGCTCCTGGACCTGTTTGTTTCATCCTGGGAATCAGGGTGTCTTAGGGCACAAATGGAATGACCTGTGGAAAAGGCTGTGCACACAGTAGGTGCCTAAGCAGTGCCACTGGAAGGGACCAGCAAGTGTGTGGATAGGCCCAGGTCACATCTGGCAGGAGTCTGGCTCTGGTAGTGCCCGGGACAGGTACGCTCAGTTCAGGCCTGAGTCCCAACCCCACCGCCCTGCCCGAGCCAACCCCTCCTGGTCTGAAAGACTGCAGTGGCCCCTGGACTTGGTTCACCCGTTGCTCTCAGTCCGAGATCCCTGCTAGGTGGCGGCCACACCCCTTCCATGTGGCAGATTCTCCCAGACACCACACAGTGAGTGCAGGAAGGTGTCTCTCCCCGCAGCCTGCCACCTCCACTGTTCCCAGCCAAAGGCCCAGGCTGGACATACCTGCTCGCTGGCGGGGGGTAGCTTGTGGGGCTCTGCGGTCAGTACCACCAGGTCGTCGATGATGCCCTGCAGGTGGGTGATCTCGCCCAGCATGGTCAGCTCACCGTTCTGAGGAAGCAGTGCGTCCTGTTGCCGGCCCCATCCTGCCCATTCTCCCACCCCGTCCGCTAGCTGCTGGCGGAGGCTGGACCCCGCATAGCCCAGCAGGGCTGCCTGTCACCTATCCATACCAAGTCATGGCCTGAAGGTGAGGCCTCTGGGCCTGCTGGTTCCCAGCCAGTGGGGGGGAAGGAAGTTGGGGGAGGTGACAGTCACCTCGAAGTGGCCTTTCTTGCCAGACAGGGTGCCGCCCCAGGCCCCAGCCCACCCTGCCAGGCCCACGGAGGCTGGCTCACCACGACGGGCTGCAGGAAGGTGATGAAGGAACAGAAGCGGCCGCGTTCCTCAATCAGCGCCCGACGCACGGCCTGCTTCTCCGTCTCCTCCAGCAGCAGGTACATGTCGTTGACATCCTGCAGGGCGCTGTCCAGTTGTGGCTGCAGGTCACCTTTCCCTGGAGGGTTGGGAGGACAGGCCGCGCTGGGGGTGCTGGCCTGACTATCTGCACGATGGCTCAGGCCCCCAGCTGTGTCCCCGGCAGGGAGCTGGGGAGGGTCGTTGGGATGCTGGGGCTTGAAGAGGGGCTGTTCCCACTGGAGCAGAGAGGACACACATACACAGGAAAGACACAAAAGCTGCAAAGCCACATGGACCTGGGGTGGGTGGACAAATGCATGGGAACCAGCTGGGGGCCTCCTCAGCCTAGGACCCTCGCTGCCCAGCAGATGGGCAGGTGGGCTGGAAGCAGGACCAGGCAGAGCCAGGCACTAGTTGCAGACCAGGCTGGGAGGAGAGTACGGGCAGGGGTCAGGAAAGCTAAGAGCTGGGCCTCGAGAGCAGTGCATGAAGAAGGTGACACCAAGAGGCGGCGAGAGAGAGAGAGGCCAGAGGGCGATGTGGAGGAGGTGGCCAGGCGGAGGCATTCCGGCAGGTGGTGGGCAAGTCAGCACCGACCTGGGGCCGGCATGGCTAAGGTGGGGCAGGCTGGGGTCTGCCCGCCCTCTCCCCCCACCCTGCCCCAGCTGACCAGCAGCAGCCCTGGACTCAGCCCTGGCCAAGGGCCCCCTGCGAGGCCCCAGGGGTACCTCCCCCCGGTGGACCCACCGCCTTGCTCGCTCCTCCTCGGCTGGGAGAGGCTCCTTCCAAAGGCCCTGAGCTGGGGGAAGACAGACAAATGCGACAAGGACAGGAGGAGCGGCTGGAGGCATGGATACCGGACTTACCAAGTAGTTCTACGGGAAGGGTGAGGGAGGAGAGACAGAGAGAGAGAATGTGTGAAAGACAGCCGGGTGGACAGGCCGTTCCCTGGGGCCCACCCAACAGGTTGCAGGGGCCTGTGTTGGAGACAGGGCCCCCTGGCCAGCGTGCTGCTGGGGGGCTCTGCATGGTGACAGAGCCCCAGGGTGGGGTTGGGGGGCTGAGCCTGGGGTGACCAGGGTGGCAGCTACCTTTTCGGGCCTTCTTCTGCAATTTCAGTGTGTCTGACGACTTCTTCTTAATTTCATGCCGGGCTCGCTTGTACTCTGTGAGCAGGGTGAGAGGGGGCGCGCTAGAGCGGGGTCCCTATGGGGTCTGGGCAGTGGGATAGCCCTTGTGGCCCGGCCTGGCTCCCACCTTTCGCGTGGTCCTTGTCCAGCTGGTTGGCCGCCTTCTTCCAGTCCTCGATGCGCTCCTGCAGTGGGTTGATGAGGCTCTCCAGCAGCGCGCTGTGGGGCCGGCACAGTCGGAGGGTCAATGCGGCCCACAGGGCCAGCTCCCTGGGCGAAACACCTGCCACCCACCCTCAGCTGACCAGGCCAGCACACTCACTTGGTGAACTGCCGCAGCTTGGTCTCGATGCTGCGGTGACGCATGCACATGCGTGTGAGCGCGGAGCCGATGTCCCGCGTAGCCCCTGGCGAGGGAAGTGTGCAGTGTGGGAAGGGGCCTGCTGGGGGACCCCCTGCATTCCCAGGCTCAGGCCACAAGGGGGTGTGCGGGGACCAGGAAAAGATTCCTGTGTTGATGGAGGCCGGGGGCCCTCCCATGCCCACAGCCCCAGCACGGTGGGGTGAAGAAGCCAGGGTCCAACCTGCCACACATAGGGTGAACTTCCCTGGCTGCAGGAGCCACCCCCAACCCCACCAGAAGGAAATGCTGTACTCCATCCCCCTCACTCATCGCTGCCGAGGGGCTCAATCCACTGCAACCAGCCCATTCCCTCAGGGTGCAGGACCCGGGGAACCAGCTCACCCCTGCGGAGCCGTGCCCCCTCCCCACCTCGGGTGTTGGTGGCCATGTCAGCCACTTTCTGGAAGGCATCCAAGAAGGCCACGGCAGCTAACACGGTGGTCCTGGGGGGCAGGGGAGGGCAATGGGGTGTGCGGTCAGTCGGGAAGGCATCCTTGTATCAGCCTGCCCCTCCCCGACTGGGCACCCTGGCCACCTCACCTCAGTTGGGAATGCAGCTTTGTGGCCTTGGAGTTGAAATCCTCCCAGATGGGATAGGAGCTCTGGAAGGGAGATGGGAGAGGCTGTGAGACCCTACCCCCTGCTGGCAGGGGTATGGGAGTGCAGGGGCGTCTGCTAGCTCCCTGCATGCATCTGTCCACACTAAGCAATTTGCAGGACTCGGGACAGGAAGCCCTTGGGCCACCAGGCAGCCCTCCCACCAAGAGGCAGAAAGTCTGTCATGCTGGTGTACCATGGGCAACTTTTTTGCTCCCTGCTCCCTCACTGGTGCATGGAAAACAGGTTCCCAGGAACTAGCAAAGGGTCTGTGAGAGCCCCAGGAGGGGTATCCTATCCCTGTCCCCTGGGGTGGGGGTTGGCCGGACTCAGGGCATGCCAGGTGTCCCCTGTGGCTTCCCCTAAGGCCCGGAAGTGGCTCCTGGCAGGCCAGCAAGGGCTCCCAGGCCCAGGGAGGCCATGGCTGCTGTGGGCCTGGCCAGCCTGCCCAGGACCAGCAGGTCCCAGGCTCAATGAGGCCTTGTGTGGCCAACAGAGGCTCCGTTCTGGGATGCAGCCCTCCCCTCGGGAGGAACAGTGTGGCCTTTATCCCAGCCTGGCCAGCGCTTCCTCCCTGGGAGGGGGTTCCCGGGAGGGAGGCCGGGCCCCTGGCGACCGACCGCTGTCCTCTCTGATGATGGGGCTCTTCTGGCTAACGCACCCGTGGGAGCCTGGGCCTTATGGCGTTCCTCCCTGAGACATCCAGACCCAGCCCAGGACCTCCTGACCTCACCCGGCGCTCACAGGATAGGGCAATGAGGGGCAGTAATGTGGATGGCAAATACCTTAGCCACAAGCACCTCCTGCTCCGAGGGCTGCAGGGACGGCAAGAAAGCGGGCAGCTCAGAGCAACCTCCCTACTAGCTCTGCCCATATCCAAGCAGATCAAATATTTGACAAGTCCACAACGGCTGCGGCAAGACTGGGAAGCTGTGGGTGGGCTGGCCTCTGGGGGCACAGCCCAGCGTGGAGGGGCCTGTAAAGCAGTCCCAGGGGATGTCCCAGACCTTGTACCCCCAGGGGTGTTCTGAAGGGGTCCCGCTCCCACCACCTGCAGGGTTTCTGTCAGGGCCCAGCCGGTGAGGCTTTGCCAAGGCCCTTGGTGAGGGAGCAGAGGGGACAAGGGGACACAAGGGGCGTGGGCCACTGGGGCCAACCAGCAGAGTCCTGGGAGCTTTCCCAAACCCTCAATGGTCCCTGGGGAGGGGTGGTGGGATGAAGCAGCCAGGCCCAGCCGCCTTCAGCACATAGACCTGTGCACCATGCTCCCTCCAGGCCACAACAGTCACAGCAGTCCCAGGAGACCCACGCAGCAACTGCCGCCACCCTCCCCCGTTACATCGCACACTTGAGAAACACCACCAGCCTCATCAGTGAGGTCACAGGGTGGCTGGGCTGGAACCCAGGTCTCATGTCTGACATACGGGTCCTGGAGGGGTGGTGGGCACCTGGGTGTAGGGAACAGCTGGCTCTGCCCCAGGCATCGGGGCTGCCTGCAGGCACCTGGGAGACAGGACGGGCACATGAAGGAGTCACTGAGACCTGGGTCCCTGGGACTGGCTCTTGGGGTGACCATGGCAGGTGGCAGCAGCCACTCTGAGACTGATTCCTCCCCTGTGACCCCTGGGAGGAGCCCTGCGGGATCTCCAGGCACAACACCCAGCGCACAGCCTACCACGCCGGGGCCTCCCCAGCCAGGGCAAAGCCACACTCCCGCTTTGGAGGGAAGGCAAGGATGACCACTGTGCCTTCCAGCTGGGCCAGGACCAGGCAGTGTCCCCTTGGCTGAAGTTCCTCGGGGTGCCACCGGGCAGGCCAGCATCCAATAGGCGCAGCCCCCCTCCAGGCTGCCCTTGGCCTCTGGGTGCAGTGACAGCAGTGTTCATCTGCCCTCGGCCCAGGGTCCCTGCTGGCTGGGCCAGGAGCTGGAAGCCGGCCCTGACACACACACTTCCCCCTTCTCTGACCCTCACCAGAGTTCCCAAACGACTGAGTGCACCATTGGCTGGGGCATGTTGGTGCCTGTGCCACCCCAGTGAAGTCTGCACAAGAGGGGGTCCTGTCCCCGGGCTAGCCTGGCCCCATCATGGCTGTTTCTTTCTGTTCTGTCCCCTGGCTCCTTGCACACAGGAAGCCATCCTGCTCTGAGCAAAGCTGCTGCAGTGCCGGCTGCATGGCTGCAGCGGGAGCTGGGGTGTTCGCACTGCTCAGCCCCAGAAAGCGGCCCCAGTGCCGGAGCTGTCATGCCTGCTGGGCAGGTGCTAAAGACCAGAAGGGGCGCTGAGGGAGGACCTGCCTGGAAGAGGGGGGGGGTCCCAGGAGGAGGTCACTACAGGGATGGGGGGGCTTGGGGGAATTTAAATGCTAATAATGAGTAGTCCCAGGCCAGGGTGGTCTGAAGCCTCCTGTGGCAGGGAGTGGGGGGCTGGGATGTGGCAGCTGCCCCTGAGGCTCTGACACCCCTCACCAACCACCTGCTTCCCAGCACCAGGAATGGGAGGCCTTGGGGGTGTGTGGGGTTCGGGCCCCCTGCAGTGTGCACTTACTTGGAGGCTGTGCTGGGCTTCCAGGGCGATGAGCCCAGCCCTTTGCTCTACTCCAGCCCACAATCCTGGCCCCTTCACTGTTGATCAGTGTGGGGTGCGTGCTGGCTCCTAGCCCCCCAGCCTGGGGCCTCCGGGTCTGGTCAGCCTCCGACTATCCCCACCCCTCAAAACCCCAATCTCTCCTTTCCTCCCAGACCAACAATGAGGACTGAGGTCAGGTGGGGCGCAGCCTTCTCCTTAATGACCTTGAGCCCGGGCTGGCCCTCAGTGGGCACACCTGGGGGCTGAGCCACAACCTGGTGCAGCTGGGGCCTGACCTTGGGTGATGGCGGGGAGGAGTGGGGAACGAGAGCCTGGGGCGGCAAGGCGCTGGCAAAGCGCTCCCTCAGGCTCACTCGCCAACCCTCACCTTCTCCCCGCCTCCTCCAAGGTGAGGCCGAAGGCCTATCCAGGGGGCCTCAGTCTGGAGGCCTGGAGCTTCAGCCGGGCGGCTCCTTTCGGGGGGAGGGGACTGGCGTCGGGCCGGACGCAGGGGCCGAGGCCGGCTGGGAAGGAGTTAACGGTTCTCCGCTTTATTATTTTTTCCTGCTTTGGACGTGACAGCACTGTCTGGGCCTCGGGGGCGGGGGGCGTCGGTGTGTGTGTGTCGGGGAGCTGGGAAGCGGGCCAGGTGACGGAAGGGGGGTGGAGGCCGGGGAGCCCCCAAGATCCGTTAAAGCGCAGCAGAGTTAGCCCTGGGACCGAAACCCCATTCATGGTTTGGGGGGAGGGGAAGGTCTGCGGCGCAGAAGGCCAGCGTGCGCTCGTAGGCTTGGGCCGGGACCCCCCGCCACGGGGCGACCCCGAGAGCGCCGGACACCCCGACACCCAGGCCGTCACCTTCCCCGGGCCCGGCAGGCACGCGGGGCAGGGCGCGCCGGCTCGGTTAAGGGCACGGCTGTCGCGGCGCGCCCCGCTTACCTTCATGTCGTTGACGATGGCCTGGAAGAGCCCGCCCAGGGCGCCGCACTCCTTCTCCGCCGTCTCCATGCTCGGGCCGGGCGGCGGCGGGGCGCAGGGAGCAGGGGGTGGCGGCCGCGCGCGGCGCTCGCTCCGGCCCGGGCCTCCCGCCTCCCCGGCGCGCTCAGCGGCCGGCGGCGCGGCGCTCCGGAGTCTCGGGCCGCCGGCGGGCGGCGCGGGCCATGTCGCGCGGGGCTGGCGGCGGCGCGGGGGGCGCGGCGCGGGAGGGCAGCCGCGGCGCAGCCTGGGCTCGGGACTGAGCGCGGCCGTAACCCGAGCCGCCGAGGCGCGGGCGTCACGTGGGCCGCGGGGAGGGGCGCGCCGCGCGGGGAGGGGCTGTGGGAAAGGCCGGGCGGGCGCGGGCCCGTCCGCGCCCCGGAGCCCGTCTTTGAAATCCGAGCCCCGGTGCGGCCAGACTGGTTGGACGAGCGAGGCCGACGCGCGCGCGGGCGTCGGGGCGGTCGGGGCAGCGCTGGGGCGGGGCCCGGCCAGCCCCTCGGCGGGGCCAGCGATGGGTGGGGGCTCCGACCCCTTCCCCGAGAAGGGGCTCCACTGCCATCCTCTGACCCGGGGTCTGGGGCGGTGGTGGGGTTCCTCGCGCTTTCAAAGCCAGGCAGGGAGCAGCACCTTCCGGCCGGCGCCGAGCAGGGTCTTGGGGTGTCAGAGGGCGTCTCGTCGTTTCAGGGAGGGACCCTCCTCTTCCAACTGCATCGACTTCTTTTCCAAGCCGGGAGGATCCCTCTCGGAGCCGGCGCCAGAGGCCAGGCTTCCGGCAGCCTCCTGCCTGATACATTGGGGTCTGCGTGGGAGCAGCAGGAGGTGGATGGCCCCTAGTCCCTGTCGCCTGCGCACACGTGTGTGTGACGCGACACAGGCCTGTGCACATGGGGATAGCCACGTTCAGCTAACGTCCTTAAGATGGAGGGCAGGGCAGGGTTCCTCCTCCCTGAACCCAGGCACCTGCTGGAGCCACCTGGGGGCTCATTAGGAGGCTGCCTACAAGTGCTGGAAAGCTGTGTTGGGCTTCCCTCAGAACTCCAGAGGGCCACTCCCATCTGCCCGGTAGCACACCTTCTACCCCTGACTCGGCATGGAAGTCAGATGAGGCTAATCCTCCGCCTTGTGGCTACTCCACTTCCCACCTAGTTCCCTAACCTGGGAAGGCAGCAGAAGACGGCCCAAAGCCTTGGGACCCTCACCCACGTGGGAGATGCAGCAGCAGCTCCGGGCTCCTGGCTTTGGATCTGCCCAACTCTGGCTGCTGCGGACATCTGGGGAGTGATCCAATGGATGCAAAATCTCCATCCTTCCTTCTCAAAATCTGCCTTTCAAGTTAAGAACTTTTAGAAGAGGAGGGAACAGGAAGGGATCTACGGTCCCAGGAAGGGCTGGGAGGAAGACACAGGGCCCGGGCTGCCTGGTGTGAACAGCACTCCCGGGGACTGTGGGAAACAAGGTCTTCAGCTCAGCTAGGAAGGACAGGCAGCTGCAGGTTGAGGTTTCTGTCATTTCTTTATTGGGGTGGGGGGCGCATCATTCAGTAGAAGACTGTGCTGGCCTCACGCCTCCACACGTGTTCACATCTGCACAGCACACGCCACATGCAGACCCATGCGGCTCTTTGACAAGAAGGCATGAAAGACCAATCTGGGGGCTGAATGGTGTGGGCGGCTGCGGCCCCACCCTGGGGACACCGGCCTCTGTCTGGCCCGGCAGCCTGGGCTGGGCTGCAAGAGGAGCACAGACAGGGGAACGGATGGACACAGCCTCTGTCCTCCTCCCTCCCGCCCACCCCGGCCTGGGCTGGTGGTCAGATCCAGCCCTGCCCCCAAGGGACAGGTCCTCAAGTCCTTGCGGGGGAAGGCCTGAGGACCCTGAGTGTGTCATGGGGCCATTGCTCAGGCCCCTCCTGGCCGGGCCTGTCAGAGAACCACCCTGCGGTCCATGTGGTCCCCGCGCCCGCTCCGCTGGTGCCTCACTTCCAAGTGCTGGTTCTGGACCTTCTCGAAGTGCTGTAGCAGCTCTGCATAGTCAATGCTGGCGGGGCCGGCCTTCTGGGACTGGGGGGCTGCCTGAGAGCCGTCTCTGGGAAGAGGGGTGCAGGGACTAGCTGTGGGGGACCAGGGCGTCTGCCAGCAACCCTTCCCCCAAGCAGCCAGCCCGCAGGAAGGGGACAGCCCGGGAGCATCCCCTCTCCTGAGTGGTGGGAACAGCAGCCGCTGCCGCCTGGATCTGGCTTCAGCCTGTGGGCTGGCGACCGGCGCCCAGAGCAGGCATCGCATGGGGAAGCATTTCCTGTTTACCAGTGGCTCCCTTTGGGGTGAAAGCCAGGACCAGCAGCCAGCCAGGAAGCCAGCTGGGGCCTGGAACGGGGTCCAGGGAGAAGGGGGAGGCGGCCTAGCCCTTTCTCTGTGGCAGGGCTGGCACTGGGAATGACCGGGACCCTGGAAGAGTGGCTGCCGGGCCCCAGGTTCTGCAAAAAGTGTCAGGCTTGACGACCAGTGGTCATGCACTGTCTCTAAGGAAGGGGAACTGGGCCCGCTGTGGGTCCTCCACCTGGGACGCAAGGTGGCGCTGGCTGTAGGGTGCATGACTGCAGTGTGCATGGCTGCTCCCCTGATTGCCAGGCCAGTGCTCGGCTGGTCCCCAAAGTCCCCATCCTGGGTTAGGACACACTGTACCCTGCCTTCCCTGCCTGAAGATGGGGGCAGGGATGTTTCTACTTCTAGCCCTGGAGCCTGGTGACTTGGGGGCAGAGGGCTTGTGGAGACTATGGGCTGCTCAGCTAGGCTGTGAATCCCTGGGGTCTCCGAGTTCATGGAGACCCACCTTCCTCCCATCTACAGGGGTGGAGCAACTAGCGGCTAAGCACAGAAACTGCAGAGACCCATCCTGGCCACTTGTCACTGGGCATGGGACCACTCCAGATACCATGTGGAGGGACCCAGCTTGGCACCCAGCTGCAGCCTGGTGCTCAGCCATTCTGCAGAAAGCCCCATGGAATGCCTTCAGTGATGCTGTCTGCAGGGAGCCGGGCCCAGCACAGAAAGCTAAATACTGCAGCATGATGTGTGTCCGCCAGCCCCGCCAGGCTGCTGAAATGGGATGGGGCCTTCAGATGCACTCCCCACCCCCGGAGCCTGGGGCAGCCTTCTGCACCCCTGGCCCATACCTATCCCTTCACAGTTCCCTGTTGGAGACACAGCATCTGAATGCAACTTGGTTGGTGTCTGTCACACTAGTCCCACAAAAGCCCAGGACAGCTGGGTAGAGCTATTGCCGGACTGTGGGCAGCCGGGGCCACTGCTCCCGTCAGTCTTCCTCCATGGCCCCATAACCCTAGAGGGGGTTCCCGAGGAGTAGCCTGGGAGCTTGAGGGGGTGGTGGTGGCTAGAGGCCCCTGGGAGGCGAGGCGAGCATGTGGAGGAGGGCTGGGCAGGGGGCAGGCAGATGCCCCCAGCTGTCCTGGCTCGCAGGGCTGGTGGGCAACCTGATGCTGGCTGCCAGCTGCCTGTTCTTCCCAGGGCTGTGCCTGTGTTGAACTCCCTTCCAGGGTCTGAGCTGCCCCTCTGTGCCCAGACCTGCAACCTGACCCTCCCTCCTCCAGCTGTCCCTACACCGGCTGCTGTGTTGGCTATCTGGGATCTCTCTTCCTCGACCCAGGCAGGAGAAAGCTGGAAAGACCCTCCCACAGACGCTTCCTGTCAATGCACATTTTGTAAGGAAGCAACGGAGAACCCAGAGGGGGAATGAGGCCAGCCCGAGGCCCCGAACCCACGGTACAGCTTGGCCCCCAGCCCAGTGCAGCCCTGCAATGATCTGGGCCCCCAACATCCTCTTGTGAGACTTGCAGCCTTTGGCCCAGGAGAGGTTCTGAGGAAATCTGCATCTCTCCCCGGCTGCCTTCTGCCTGCCTGTCCTCACCTGCCTTGGGGAGGGGCCCGTCCCTGGTCATGAGGGCTCCCTGGGATGGCAGGCTAGTTTTCATGGGATAACCACATGTCACAGGGAGGCAGCCACCTGCATATTCTGTGCCCAAGTACCCACCAGGTTTCCGGCGCCTACACGCAGGGCCAGGGTGATAAAAAGCCAACACTGAGGCAGCGTCCCTGCACCCCAGGACACACAGGGTACCGGATGATCTCGGGATCACCTGGGGACACCCTGACGGACAGATAAGGCCTCATCCTGCCACCCCAGAGGGCTGCAGTCTGGGAGTGCGACAGGAAGTGGGAGCTGGGTCATGGCTGGGGCAATGCATGAGGGGGTAGCAACCTAACGGGACTGTGCAGAAGGAAGCCAAGCCCCCTGCATGGACAGCCTGGGGGATCTGGGCAGTCCCATGCCAAGGCTTCTGCATGCGCCCCCAGGGCCAATGCTGGGGCCCTTGGTGAGAACAAGGCGCCAGGCTGGCCGAGTGGCTCCAACAGCCTGGGAGGGAATTCTAGACACACAGGGCATCAGATGCAAGCTGGGCGCACTCCATTCAGCGTAAATCTTCTTGGTGGCTCTGCTTGTTTCCATGGCGACCTGACAAGTGAAATTTTCCATCTCGGATGCCAAATGCCTGTGGATGAGGCAAAGCCTCCAAGGGTTACCAAATATAGACACAGCCCAGCAGGCTCTGGAGCCAGGGCCAGCAGTGGGTTCAGGGTGGGAGCCTGGACCCCTGGCCCGGGGGCTGCTACAGGACCGACCAGTTCCTCCCATGGCCAGACAGGAGCAGAGTAGCCCAGGGAATACTCTGTCCCCATCTGTCCAGGGATGCTGGGGTCTCTCAACAACCTAGGGCTGTGCTCCTGTGCCACGGGGGAGGGGCCGTGTGCTCCAGAGCATTCAGTCCCACACACGTGACCCTGCCCTACTGCCACCTGGGCCTCATCTCAGTGGGGCTGGAGCTCTCCCCTTCCTGCTGCTTGTCTCCTGGAGTCTGCTGGGTTAGCTAGGACAGCCTGAGTGTGCAGGTTAAAGTCGGGCCACACACCGCACGCTGACAGGGCAATGCTACCACTTCCTGCCGGCAAGCACTC